TACCCCTAAACCTAACCCCCCTAACCCTAACCCTAACCATAACCCTTAACTTAACTCTAAACCTAACCCTTAAGCTAACCCTAAACGTAACCCTTACCTTAAGTTGAATCGGCTTGCTTTCAAAGCGCTATTTAAAGCGCCCTTCTTTCTCCGCGCTGGCTGTTGTTGCCCTGTTGATGACATCAGCGACGTGGTTTAATCTGGCGTGGTTTTGACGGGTCATGCTCAATCTTACACAGGAAAAGACCCGAATACACCAAAACCTGTACTAAATTTTGTTTAGTACACAATAGCCACTTCATATCTGGGCAATCTTTTGCAACATCAAAGTCTCAGAATTCTACATCACTGTCTTTACATTTTTTCCCATTCCCCCTTTTCCCCCCTAATCTCAGCCATCAAGAACGTACAAGGAACATATTATCTGAATGGGCAGTGGACAATTGAGTACAGCCGGGCCTTGCCTATTGCCAGCACAGTGGTGCATTACGACAGAGGTTCAGAGGGAGATCTGGCTCCAGAGCTTCTATATGCCCGGGGTCCCATCAGCGAGCCTTTGATAATTGAGGCAAGTAGCTGCAACTGCTTTCCTGTTTTCTTAGAGCAGGGGTGTCCAAACTTGGGAACTTTAAGACTTGTGGACTTCAACTCCCAGAATTCCCCAGTCGGCTGAGAGTTGAAGTCCACAAATCTTAAAGTTCCCAAGTTTGGACACCCCTATCCTAGAGGTTTAATTCCTGAGTTGTGCATAGGTATTCTGGATAATTCTCCAGAATAATACAGACTGAGGGATTCCACAGGTTCATTAATAAATAAAATAGATTGATGTGGAAACTTCCATTTTTTGACTGAACAACTGTTAGAAAAAGAGTAGAGGAGAACTGGCCTTGAGGCTATCTCTGTTTCATGCAGAGGTCAAACAGTAAATGACTAATTTATTTGTCATGGCATTAAGATCACTTTAGTTCCTCATTCCTTAACCCCAACAGCGTGCTTAGATGAAATGAGTTTTGTCACATTTGCAGGGTACAAGGTTACGAAGACTACAGTAGTTTAACAATTGTTTCTTGATGAAGAGGAAATATAATCTTTCTTTATCCTTTGTATTGTAGGCAATGTATTCAAATGTTGATCTATCAGAGTCAGAAAAGACATACAGGCAGGAAAGGAATAACCTTGGCAAGGATCTGAGTGATGGATGTTTGTGTGTGTGTAAGACTTCAAGTCTGTTTGTGACTCTAAGCAACTGCCTGCATTTTCTTGGCAAGATTTTTGAGAAGTAGTCTGCCATTGGTTGCTTTCTGAGTCAGCTTCACTGAGTCAGAGTGATTGGCCCAAGGCAGGGGTGTCACACTCGATTTGATTGAGGGCCACATCAGGGTTGTGTTTGACCTCGGGGGCTGGGGGGCATGGCCAGCTTGACATCACTAATTGAGGCTCTGTTTTTAGCCGTCTGCCAGTGAAAACAGAGCCCGGGGGGGGGCAGTGTGCAGCCTCCCTGAGCTCCGTTTTCCCTGGCAGAGGGCTGCAGGAGGCCATCATGGCTGAAAATGGAGCCGAGGCAGGCCACATACGGCCTCCCCAAGCTCCATTTTTGCTGGCAGAGGGCTGCAGGAGACCATCATGGCCAAAAACAGAGCCTCGATGAATGATGTTTAGCTGGCCACACCCTCCCAGGCCTGCATGTAGTCCTCACCACTCTCCGTTTTCACTGGTGAGGCACCACGGGCTGGTCCTTCATTGTTTCCAGGGCGGCCCCATGGACCAGATCTAAGCACCCGGATGTGGCCTTGAGTTTGACACCACTGGCCTAAGGTGACCCAACTGGCTTGTGCCCAAGCAAAGACTAAAACTCATGATCTCCTAGTTTCTAGACTTATGGCTTAACCAAATTGGTTCTGAGTGATAGACAGTTTTCACAAATAGCAGACAATGTTTGTTTATTTATGAAATTTCAAAACCACCCATCTCCCTGACAAAGGGATGTTGGAACTTGGATTGTAACAAACAGATGAGTAATTGTGTTTTTAATTAATTAAGTAATTAGCACATCAGGGAAAAGAAACTAAGCTGACCTTAGTTTTCAACAGGTAGACCAGATTATTATTATTTTGTTTGAAAAAGGGATATTCCTGTCATCTAAATGTTTATGTGCAAAGGTCCAGACATGGCTACTACATGAATTGGACCAGTAGATAATACCTTGTTACAAGGGTAGCAAAAAGTGTGTTTCCTGACAACTGCTTATCTTCTTTCTTTTTCAGCTTATAAGCCAGGAACGAAATCAAGGAGTACATTATGAATACTATTTGCCATTCCAAAGGCAAACATCAATATACAGCTGGGGTTATGGCTCTTGGAGTGACTGTAGTGCTGAATGTGGTGGAGGTATATGCCAGCACCTTACATTTAATATTATTGATTTGCTTAAGTAATGGTTCCCAATCTGTGTGTACAGATCACATATTGATCTGTGATGATATTCTAGACAGTTTGTGGTCTCGGTGTATATAGCAATAGCTCTTAGACTTATATACCGCTTCATACCGTGCTTTTACAGCCCTCTCTAAGCTGTATATAGCCCTCAACAATCTGGGTCCTCATTTTACCCACCTCAGAAGGATGGAAGGCTGAGTCAACCTTGAGCCTGGTGGGATTTCAACTGCCAAATTGCACTCAGCAGAAGTAACCTGCAATACTGCATCTAACCACTGTGCCACCTCAGCTCTTTGTATATGCTACAAACCTAGACCTGTAGCACATGGGGAAGCTGAATGGGTGATATGTGAGCACTAGTTGCCAAGGTTGACTGTTTATTTAATTGGTCAAAATCTCAGATAATTAGCAAATCACACAAAATGTTGGCAAACTCATTCACAATCTCAGAAACTTTTAGACAGGAATATTAGTTACATATGAGAATTGGTAGACATGCTAGATTTCAATCATTAACTGCTATACTGAACTATTGTAGTGATGATTGTGTAATAACCTCTGTCTTATACCTTTCGCCTCTTAAAACATTTAAAGCCATTTTTAAATAGAATAAATGTATTATCAAGATGATCCTAAGCAGAAATCTGCTGGTCTAGGAAAATCACAGCATAGAATGGGTGAAAGCAATCGTCTTCTGCCTCAGAGACCATTTCACCTTTACAGGGTCCTATTTGAGTTGGCCACCAGTACCTGAGATTTACTCTTAAACGTTGTGCCCTGCCTAAGGACTGCAAAAGATAGGATGGATAATAATGTGGACAGGTCCAAGGGATTTGGCTTGCTTTGAGTAAAGGATTATAAGAAATGAAATAAATGATTTAAGCCAGAAAAGTATTATGATCTTGCTTTTCAGGGCTTGCCAAAATAAATAAATTGCCCTAATACAGGAGAGAATCGCTAGGTTTTAAACAGGGTTGGGATTCAGCAGATTCGGACTGATTCAGGCCAACCGGATGCTAATTTTGCATCTAGTTCGCCAAACCAGTAGTTGGAAGGAGTCGTTGGCCACACCCACCCAACCACCTTGCTCCTCCCAGGAGTCTCCACGTGGCCCATTCATCATGCCAGTTAAGCGCATGGCCCATGCGGAGGCTCTGGGAGGGTGAAAAACAGGCCTCCTGGAAGTTCTAAAAGTCCGGAAACAGTCCTGTTTCCAGCCTCCAGAGGGCATCTGGAGCCTGGGGAGACTGTTTTCGCCTTCCCAGAGGCTTGATGAAAGCCTCCAGAGCCTGGGGAGGGCAAAAACGCCTCCCAGCTGTGGTGCAGGAGGCCGAGTAGGCCATGCCCTCCATGGCCACACCACAACCAGGCAGAGAACCGGTTGCTAAAAATTTTCAATCCCACCCCTGGTTTTAAACCACCCATTTTTGTTAAAGACCTAGGAGTAATATTCCCCTTCAATTCGCCTACACAAAATACACAAAAATGTCCTGAACATTTGGCTGTGATTACTCCGGGAGCTGCAAAAAGGATGCTTGTAGAGGCATTGACCTGTGTCAGAAGGTCAAGGGGAGCAAATGACGAAGCAATGTTGGGTCATCATGATGCAAGCCTCCTCCCTTTTGTTATGATCTCACACACCCATACAAAGGAGAAGGCCATGTATCAAAGCACCATGATGCTGCTTTGGTCATTTACACAAAGGCATTTGCATTCTGTGAACATCTGTGAGTTTTGGGAAGCTACATGGGTCTCAGCCAGTGAACATCTGTTAAGCATGAGAAGTATAGCAATATTACTTCTGCAATTCCTTATGCCCCCTCATGGGCACCTTACTAGTTTTTAGAGCTGATATCATAATGATTGTAGCTCCTGCTTTCCCCAAGTGACTTTCTGTTCTTGTTGCCATTTTTTTAGTGTGCTATTTTAATGTAATGGGAAAAACAGGTTTGAAGGGTAGAACAGAGAGACAGATGATTAGATATATTAGATTACATTAGTTATAAGAGGCGTGCTGGCACATTGGTTAGAATGCAGTATTGCAGGCTAATTCTGCTGACTGTCAGCAATTTGGCAGTTCAGTTCTCACTGGCTCAGCCTCCCATCTTTCTGAGGTCGGTAAAATGGGGACCCAGATTATTGGGGGCAATATGTTGACTCTTTAAACTGCTTAGAGAGGGCTGTGAAGCACTTTGAAGTGGTATATAAGTCTAAATGCTATTATTACTGTTTTTCACACTTATGACCACTGCAGCATCCCCATGGTGATGTGATTTACATTTGGATGCTTGACAACTGACTCACATTCATAGCAGTTGCACTGTCCCGGGGTCATGTGATCCATTGTTCCTCTTAGACCGTCATCAGGTTATCAATGAATCCTGGAGCCAGAAGGAATCTCATAAAATATACTAACCTAAATACTCCGCCTTCCTGTTCCTACATACAGAAAAATAACAGGGCATATTCTAATATTGCCTAGAAGGCTGTAAGAAAAGGCATAAATTGAAAGTAAACTCTGATTGAGTTGCAGCAGGATTATTATATCATGAACAAAATAATGTTTGTTTTTTTATAAAGCTTGTTTTGAGAATTTGACCTATATCTATATCTATATCTGTCTATCTCTATCTCTAGCTAACTATCTATCTATCTCTATCTCTATCTCTATCTCTATCATCTCTCTATCTCTATCTCTATCTCTATCTCTATCTCTATCTCTATCTCTATCTCTATCTCTATCTCTATCTCTATCTCTATCTATCTATCTATCTATCTATCTATCTATCTATCTATCTATCTATCTATCTATCTATCTATCTATCTATNTCTATCTATCTATCTATCTATCTATCTATCTATCTATCTATCTATCTATCTATCTATCTATCTATCTATCATCTATCTATATAAAAGCTTGCAATGGTCTGTGCAGAAATCACCTTGTAATCTTTGCTTATGGGATTATAAAGAGATCCGCTATTAGCCATTCTAGGAGATACAATTTTGTACTGAGTGGCAGACATATTTTCATTCGTTCAGCATTAAAGCCTGTCCATCTGCTTATTCTTCTTCAAAGCAAATGTGACCAACAACCTTAGTTACTGATTGCACTGCATATATGCCAGTGAGATTGTATATGGTATGGTAAAGTACAAATAGCAAGGGGGGGAGGGTGTTTAATTTCTTCATTAAGCCTCTATACTATTGCAAATGACATGAAAGGCAGTTTGATGTAGTAGTTAAGGCACCAGGCTAGAAACCAACTGAATTCTAATCCTGCCTTAGGCCTGAAAGCCTTTTGGGAGATTTTGAGCCAGTCACTCTCTCTCATCCTGCAACATCCGGCTTGGGTGACAAGATGGTTAGTCAAATCCTGTCACAACCAATGGATCCGCACCCGGTTGTTCAAGAAAAAGCAGACCGCACACTTGAGGGGAAAAAATGCTAGGAAGAAAAAATCTTGCAAACATAACAATCCAGTACAGACCATTCAAAAATAAAACAGCACTCAGAAAAGGGACACGATCAGTTTTCAGATTTACAACTATTGTAGCATCCCCATGGTCACATGATCAAAATTCAGATGCTTGGCAACTGACTCATATTTATGATTGTTGCAGTGTCCTGGAGTCATGTGATCATCTTTTGCGACCTTCTGGCAACGGGGAAGCCAAATTTACTTTACAACTGTGTTACTAACAATTTCAATGATTCATGTAACAACTGTGGCAAGAAAGGTCGTAAAATGGGGCAAAACTCACTTAAGGAATGTCTCGCTTAACAACAGAAATTTTGTGTTCGTAAATCGAGCACTATCTGCACTACACAGCATAATTACAAACATAAAACATCCTCAGTGGAATAAATCATGCACCTGTAGTAAAGATTCAATCAGCAAATTTCTTTCTTTCTTTTCATTATCAAAAGGAGGAGAAGAAATGAATAACAATCTATCTAACGTGAAAAGACCTCATGGGGGGAGGGATGTCTCCATCTCAACCAGCTTCTGCAAGGTAATCAATGTCAGAGCAAGTCTGACCTCTGAGGGAGAGCTGGCCAAAAGCCCAGGGCTGTGGTAGGAAAATATCACCTCCCACCCCTAAAAATTGATGAAACTGATGGATTTTCAGCATTCTTTTCCGGGGATGCGTATATTGAACCCATTATTACATTCAATTAATTATGTAACTTAATGAATTCCCCACCCCCGCTCCCGCCTTCAGATTAGTGCTAGCCCTGTTACCTTGATTTCAATCACATCATTTGTGTGTGGGAATATGAAAAGGCAACTCATTGGATACTGGCCTCTGCTTAATTCTTATCGGTTAGATGATAATACTTGGTTGCTTTAGGGATATTATGCAACCAGTCGCCTTGGCAATTATGGTTACCTTTTGCCATCCTGTTGTGTTTTCTCTGCTCCGCAGGTTATCAGTCTCGTCTGGTCTTTTGCACCATTGATAATGAAGCCTATCCGGATTATATGTGCAGAGATAAACCATGGCCAGGAAATAACCGCACCTGCGGCCTCCAGCCTTGTCCCCAGACAAAACGGTGAGCTTTGATTTGGTTTCTCTCTTCTCTGAAATCTACCTTGAAATCCAAGAATCAAAGTCAGAAATAACTTGGTAGTCTCTGTTCGGGGCCCTTGTTGCTCTCCTATGAAATGCGTGCAGAGAAACCTGAGCTCCCCCCAAAAGCACAGGTAGCCCTCGACTTACAACCATTCATTTAGTGACCTTTTCGAAGTTAGGGTGGCACTGAAGAAACTGACTTATGATCGGTTTTCACACTTACAACCGTTGTAGCATTCCCATGGTCATGTGATCTAATTTGGGGAGCTTGAAAGCTAGAATGTATTTATGACAGATGCGCTTTTCCAAGTTCACCTGATCACCGTTTTTAATATTCCCCGCCAGCTTCCAACAAGCAAAGTCAATGAGGGAAGCCAGATTTACTTAATGACCATGCGATTCACTTAACAACTGCACGGATTTGCTTAATAATTATGGCAAAAGAAGGTCATTAAACGGGGTAAAACTCACTTAAGAGTTGCCTTACTTAGCAACAGAAATTTTGGGCCCAGTTGTGATTGTAAGTCGAGGCCCACCTATCATACAAGCTAGAGCAAAATGTTATCTGAGGGGAAAAAATGTTACAATTGGCAAGCTAATTGGGTGGGAATAGGCAGTCTCTTTTCTTTGGGACTTGCCTATTTAAAAAATGTTTTCTAGGTTGGGTGTAGCTAATGACACAAGGTGTAATTTTTTTTAATTGATTTATTATGTATGTTGTTATTCTTCTTTTATTTTTTATTGGCAAATTGTTGCTCTCCAAGATGTGCGCCATTTCTCTAGACACGTTAACCCATGAACAAAGAAAAAAATAGTTATGAAATCTACTGTTTTTCTTTTCTAAGCAAGTCAATGCAACCTGTGTGAGGTCCAGGGAAACTTCTGAAAATGAAAAGGATGCTAAAAGCTGGTGCTTTGCTTTCCCACTTACCATCAACCCAGTGTTCTGACCTAGGCTTCCCAAGAGCATGAAGCAAACTCATTGTCCAGACAAAAAACCCTTTTATTAATTTACTGTGAATTCTGCTCATTCACATCCAGCAAAGACTTTCAAGGGATGATTTACAGTCACAGACCTTATCTGGTTTGGAGAGTTGACAGGCCGATATCTGCAAAACTTGGCAAGGAGTCTCGGAGAGTCACGAACTAATTAAGCAAATTGTCTTCTGCAAACTTCACTCCCCTTTCGTTCCTCTTTTATTTTCTCTGGGAGGGGCCATACATCATCCACCTGTGGCCTTACTCCCAAGTTGACCCATGCTCTTTAGCTGTTCCCTTTGTCTAGCAACTCTGCACATGGGCACATTGGGAACAGGCTCCAGCTGTTCGTCTGCCTCACTGATGTCTGACTCTGAAGGCAGCTGATAACTGGCATACGGCTCTGGCCCTCTCTCTGACTCTGACACAGAGCCCTCATCAGAGCCTTCCCCAGACTCCAGGACTGGCCCGTGTTCCTCCTCAACCTCCTCACTGTCTGAATCTGCTGCCAGCTTGGCAGTCAGGCCACAACACCCAGTTAGTTAAATTAAAAACACTTGACTCCTCTCTTAGGAGAAGGGATCAATATTGCTAAACAAACTAGGAAGGGTGGATAAAAGCTTTCTGTTAGAAGATCATGGCATATTTCCTGATTAGTGGGAAACCATATTGGAGAGTCCCTCCTTGCGTGAAATGCAGGTGGTGAGTGGCGGGAATTCCTTTTCATTTTATCAAAAGACATTATTTAGAAAGGATGCAGATTACCAGCTGTCTGCAAGGAATATAAATCCTTCCATTCCCCACTATCCTATCAGAGCTGAAGAAGCTTCTTGGCTGAGAAGCAAAACGTCTTCAAAAGGAAAAAAAACAAGAAAGCCCAGTTGCCTCCTGAAAAAAAGCATTTTTGAGATAACTATGGCCTGGATGACTGAGAATCTCTATAGACTATTATTTAGAAAGTTTTAGAAATATGAAGTTGTTTCCTCTGTTTTAGCACTAGAACTTTTCCAAGCATAATTAGGTTTCTGCTTGTAACATGAACAGACTACAAATAGAAAGAAAGTGTCCACCTTCAGCTCTCCAAAAGATGTGTCACACTTTGAACTTTCACAGAGTTAGACCACAATCCGCCCTTCCTTCCCCTGTTTACTATAATGAACCCCTGCTAATGTCCAAGTAGTTAGTTGGTTCTTGTGGCTACGATGAATTTTAATGGGGAAATTCAAATGAAGAGATCAAACCATGAAAGCAATTTTTTTTTGTTATGTGCAACTTTTGGAGGGAATGGTTTGAAGACATGATGAAGGACAGGGGAAACTGAATTCTTCCCACCACCCACATATTTGGCCTTGATTTGAATTGGCTCTTCTTCTTATGGATAATAAAGTGCCTGCATGTTTTCTGAATAATAATAGCTATGATGGGTGGTCTATTTTGGTGCAGGAAATTGGCATAGTTGCAAAGAGAGGGGAGGCTATTACCTGCCCATGACCCCATCCCAACATCCTTTGGTGGTGTTTTCAACCTTAGCAACTTGAAGATGTATGGACTTCAATTCCCAGAATTCCCAGCCAGCCATGCTAGCCGAGGAAGGGCCATGCTGGCTTGGCAATCCTGAGAATTGAAGTCCAAGTATCTTCAAATTGCCAAGGTTGAGAAACATTGTCCTAAGGCAGGGGTCCCCAAACTTGGCAACTTTAAGACTTGTGGACATAGCTTGCTGGAGAATTCTGGAAGTTGAAATCCACAAGTCTTAAAGTTGCCAAATATGGAGACCTCTGTCCTAAGGCTTTAAAAAATGGCAACGGAGGTTTCCGATCCGTCATAAAAATCCCTTTTAGTTTGGCTCTAAAAGGATAGAAATCATACTGTAAAAGACAGACCCAGATGTCTATATATTTATTATGGGCTTTAAAATCTTTATTCTATATACAAAGGGTCTCTTACCTCTATCTGCCGGGAGCATGGAGCCGCAACAGAGCATGGAACTTGCAAACAAAGAGGTAACTAGGAGAAAGTGGTTCAGCTCTTTTCTTCCTTCGCCTCACCTCCAATAGTGGTTTTTCAAGCTTCCTAACCTTAGTAAACAGCTTGTATTTCCCCTCCCCTCGCATTGTTAGCTGCTCATTGAGCAGGAATTTGCTAAAAAACAAACAAACCACAAATTCCTGAGAAACGCTTGTTGAAAGCCACAGACCTAGATTCCTGAAATCATACAAAAAAGAAAGAGGCTTTAGAGAGCCTCTATGCCTGGTGAGACATATACAGGTAGTCCTTGACTTACAACTGAGCCCCCAAATTTATGTTGGTAAATGAAACATTTGTTAAGTGAATTTTGCCCCATTTTACAACCTTTCTTGACACATTTGTTAAGTGAATCACTGCAGTTATTAAGTTAGTAACATGGTTGTTAAGTGAATCTGGCTTCCCCATTGACTTGTCAGAAGGTCACTAAAGGTGATCACGTGACCTCAGGACACTGCAACCGTCATAAATATGAGTCAGTTGCCAAGTATCCAAATTTTAATCATGGTACCATGGGGATGCTGTAATGGCTTTATGGTCATGAGTCACCTTTTTCCATGCTGCTCTAATTGTGAAAGGTCACTAAGTGAATTGTTGTAAGTCAAGGACTATCTGTACTAATATAGTAGTTTCAGGTTCATCCTGTTCATCCAGTTCATCCAAGCAATGTGACTTCATAGCCTCTCTCCAAATTGCTGCTGAAAAGTTGTAATTTGCAGTGTGACAGGAGGAATTATTAAATTCGTAGCAAGCAATCACACTGAGTATGTTCAAACATTTTCATTTACACTCAATTAAGGTTAAATGTAATTTAGATAAAAAGATACTTTTGTCTTGGCTCTACATCCTGGCTGGAGTGTGGCTCCCAGCACGCTACTCTAAGGCTGGTGAGGCTCTAAATCTTCCAAAAGTTGAACATCTCTGGTTCCACGAACCTTGGAAGGCTTTTCTTCTAGGTGATGGACTTTGTTCTTAAAGCTTTGGCTTTTCTCCCTAAACAATGGTGTTGGGCAGTCAGTGCTTTTGGCCTTCTTATTCTATGTGAAGAAGGGTGAAGGAAGATAGTTCCTTATTTTTCTTTGTAGCCCAAGAGTTTAGATATCATATCCCCAGTAGCTTCTGCGGAGAAGTTTAGTAAATTAAAAATGAATATTGCTGGAGATTGCTGCATTATTTTATCTTAACCTTACTTTTCTATTTTTCTATATTTTCCCCATACCCATTAATCTGGATGATAATTTTACATATTCAGTTGTATACCATAAGGATTTACCAGAGGTCCTTCCATAATGATGAATTACCAACCACTAGTACATAATAAAATTCACCACTACAAGCATGATGATGCCATTTGCTTTGATAACTTCAGCATTGGACTGGATATATAAAAACAAAATAGTCCTTCAATGGTTACTTATGTGCTGGATACATGGCTTTAGGAATGGTATCCCTTTCATATAAGCGAATCAAGTTTAGCTTGTTGATTTCTTGGTGATTTCTATTAATTGATTAATAAGCAGAATGCTATAGTGAAGGATCTTTGAGTTGGATTCACATAACATTGTGAACCATGGTTTGTTTTCATTGTGGCTTGCTGAACATGACATAATCAGGTCTAACTTTAAACCAAAACCACAATAGATGGTTCATACATCAAGCTAAACCAAATCAAACGACCCATAAGAGGGTTGGGGAATTAGAATAATTACAAATACTGTTTGGGGAAGTGAGAATATGACTTTGTTATGTCTTAACCTAATGGGACACCCAGTCCGATCCAGTAGAGCTCCTAACTCCTACAGAAGAAGATACCAAAAAGGGGTTTTGAGCTTTCAAGTTGAACTTCTGCATGATTGTTATACAGTTCCCTAATCTTTAATATACTTTATAATTCAAAATCAAACAAAAAAGAATCTCCCATGTAAGGTCATACATCTCCCCACAATATTCATGATAGAATATGGAATATGTGGCTAAATTAGCAGAGAAGTAAAGGTAGCTACAATGCTATATAGCTTTCAGTCATCAATCCTGAAACAAATATATTTTGCTGTGTTCTTTAACTCTAACTCAGGGATCCCCAACCCCCGGGCCGCAGCCCATTACCACTCTGTGGCCTGTTCGAAAGATCGGTTATCGCTGCTGTAACTGTTCCCACAGCATGCTAAATCAGGATGTGTTTAACCATGGTGTATTGATTAAATCATAATTGTGTGGGTTCACATAATACATTAAATCTTAATCATGATTGATGAGCTAAACTAAAACAACATATTACACCACAATCTAACCGGCTTCTTTTTGATTTAGTCATTATATGAATTCAGCTAACACTGCAAGTCTACAGGATAGAGGTCCCATTGCCATTTGAAACATTTCTTGCAATTTAATTTTATTACTGAATATTGTTCCATGGCAACCTAAAGTAATATTTAACTATAAAGGAAGTAAGTGGTAAAATTCTGCTTGGAATATAAGGCTGAAATTATTTTTAGGCACTGATCCTTATTCACAGTCTGTTTTCTTCTCTATTCCTATTGAAGGAGCTGCGTAGATTCACCTCCTGCCAGCTAAGTTATTTTTAGAATAGGACTTCCTCTAAGATGTCATGCTCCAATCTTACAGTCACTCTCCACTGAGCCTCCTATTGGTCTGTAGGCTGTGCCAAGATAGTTGAGGTTATTTGTGCAGTTTCTGTTGGAAACGACAGCTTGAGTTGGCTGTTTGACTGCCTGGAATTTTGATTAAAGCCCAGCCTTCCAACTGTGGTCCTTGCTACTCCTATTTGCAGCATTGGGCTTCTCCCAAATTTAGAAAAATCAAATTAAAAGAAGAGTTTTATGTCAAGGCATATAGAAAGAGAAGCATTTTTCAAGAGTATCAAGTATATCGAGATCTGATTAATTTATATTTTATTCAAAGTGTAGCCCCAGGCTATCAGGGACGCGGTGGCTCAGTGGTAAGATGCTGAGTTTGTTAATCAAAAAGTCAGCAGTTCGGCAGCTCGAATCCATAGCACTGCGTAACGGAGTCAGCTCCCATTACTTGTCCCAGCTTCTGCCAACCTAGCAGTTCGAAAGCAGGTAAAAATGCAAGTAGAAAAATAGGAACCACCTTTGGTAGGAAGGTAACAGTGTTCCATACACCTTCGGCGTTTAGTCATGCCGGCCACATGACCATGGAGACGTCTTTGGACAGCGCTGGCTCTTCGGCTTTGAAATGGAGATGAGCACCACCCCGTAGAATCGGGAATGACTAGCACATATGTGCAAGGGGAACCTTTACCTTTAGTCCCAGGCTAGATCCTGGAGATCTCCCAAAGATCACCCCTCCATCCCAAATGCCCTGGACCACATTGATAGCAAGTAGTGCTAGGTATAAACATGCACATTTTTTTTTCCACAGGCACATTTTTACCTGAAAATAAAATTTTCTCCAGCTACTTTTAGATATTGTGGGAAAGATATTCGGACCCTCCAGCTGCAAAAGCCATCTAATATATTTATTTTAAACATGCATAGCATCTGCATGATATAGATAGATCATAAGATAATCATATTCCTCATGCAGACTCTGGGGTTTGTGTTAATTTAGCTCTTGGTGCTGCAGCCCCTTAAAAATAGTAACATTCTACTACTGTCTCCCAGAGAAAGATTCCCTCCCTTTCTAAATCTTTTCTGAGGCCTCTATTAATACTTCATCTCAAATTGTCTTTTTGATTCCTTTCATTCACTTCCTTTCCATAATTTGGCACCCTTGTTATTTTTAATGCTGTTAGGAATTTCCATTGTGCCCGATTTGAATTCTTGGCTTTTAATATGACCATGTTAATTCCTATATATCAGGCATCTTTTTCCTAACCCTTGCTTACTAGTTGTATAAAGCCTGTGATCAAAAAAGCTCATCCCAGAAACTAATCATGAGAAATGTTTGTTCCGGGAAGCTCTCTTGTCACCCTAGTGACTTCTTGGTTCCTTGAGAGTTATTTTTTTGAACATTTGTTTTTAGCTGGAAAACTGGTGACTGGAGCCAGTGCTCTGCCACCTGCGGAGGGGGCTTTCAAAGCCGTTCAGTTTACTGTGCCTCGTACAATGGACATCACTTTCAGGATGCTGTGGATGATACCGAATGTGCTTCCTTGACAGAGAAGCCACGCAGCGCACAGCCTTGCAACCTGCAGCGGTGTGCAACATGGGTCGCAGGTCCTTGGTCTGAGGTGAGTTTTTCCTTCTATCTGCAATATCTGTACTGAGGCAGGATTGGTCCAGTTTCTTCTGCACCTTGGGGAAAAGAAGATAATATATCCCCTTGGGGCATCCTGATCTGCCTTGCATGATTTTAGTACTGAGTAAAGCGTTGGAAGTACAGGTAGTCCTCATTTGGTGGACATTTGGGACTGGCAGCTCAGACATTAAATGAAGAGGTCACAGAGTGAAACTGCAACAATGTTAGCGACCTTACTTCCTTTGCTTTATAGATTTGCAAAAGATATAAAAGCAATGATTGGCCATAAAGTTACTTTTTCATCACTTTTGTCACTGTGAGCATTTGCTAAACAAGAACAACCTGTAACACAATAGAACTCTGTAATATTTGGGCTTATTCTAATTCTGTGTGCGCCTGTACTACAAGTGCAGAGTAAGATTAAATTACAAGATGTAAAGTGGGAGTTCATCTAGGACCATGGGAGAGGGGAGTAAGTTTGAATCTACCATAGATATGGAAGCTCAGTGTAATCTTAGGCAGGCCACTTCCTCTCAGCCCAATTTAACATTGTTGACCAGTTATAACTTTAATACATGTATTTAAAATTAGAAAAATTACAAAATATACACACAAAAATAGAAAAATTATTTTAAAAAGATGAAAAGAAGGAAAAAAACCAAAACAAATTCTAAAAAAAACCCCAAGGATGTATCTTAAAGTTTATAAAATAAAATAACAAGCCACAATTGCTCTTCTCCTCCAAAAGAAATCAAACTCCATGACAAAATCTCTGGAACTGCCCATATGCCTGAATGTTCTTCTGACGCCCTAGCTGCATTTCAATGAAATGTTGGAAACCTGAATACAGAAAAAGAGAACTTTATTCAGACTGTAGACTATGTAGAACAAATTAACATCAGAAATAGAGACGTGTTTCATGCAATGCAGATCTATTCTATTCTACTCTACTCTACCCTACTCTACCATACTCTATTACAGTGTTCAGTAAGCTGTGGTGAAGGTATTCAAACCAGGACTGTAAGATGCCAGGTTGAACAGGGTCCTCAGATTCTAGATATTGCTTGCTTGAGAGAACCAAAACCTCAGCACACCCAGCCCTGTATCGGGGAGAATTGTATACAGGAGATTGGCTGGCATATCGGAGACTGGGGATTGGTGAGTATGACACATATTTCCCTAGTCCAATTTTTGTCCCTGCGCTGCTCCCTTTTTCACATTCTTACAAAGACTCATTTGCAGCCATACAATATTTGCTGATCTCCTGGGAGAATGAAAATAAACACAAGAAGGAGGTCACCAACCTGAATAGCCCATAGGACAAAGTTAGAGCATGGTCACAGCAGAGATATTTTAATCAATGGCTTTTTGGGGCAGGATGGGGATATTCACATGATCCTATCTTCTGGAACTGAAACTATAAAGTGTCTTAGTTGTAACTGCCTGTAAGGACAATTGCATGCAGAACCTTTAGGCTATTCCTGGGCCTTGTGAATCAGTCCTACTACAATAACTGACCTGGAAATAACTAATCCTACCAGGTCTTTCTTCTTTATCAGTTTCTTTCCCTGATGCGCTACAGTTCTGAGTTAGATTGGCTGCAGGAAGACTGGAGGGTTCCAGATTGGAAAACCTCCAAGTAGTATTTGCAGCCTTGTTCCTTGACACTTCACCCACAAGGTCTCTGGCCCCTTGGTGGTTCTTTGCTCCTCATCTGATGATTCTTTGCCTCTCATCTGATTGTCCATTGTTTTAATCCTTACCATCTTTTCATCAAGTGCTCAAAAAGCTGCAGTTCTGGTATCCGAACCCGCCAAGTCATCTGTGCTGATGGGGATTCCAAATTCTACGGTCATGAGATTTGCCAAGAGATACAGCCACAGATACCAACCATGCTTGGGAGCTGCAATACACAACCTTGTCACCTGCCCCAGCGTAAGTGCAAAGTAGCATTTACTTCCAAGACATCAGGGAAGTTAGAATAGATAGGAATGCCACCGTCATATTGTTTAACTGGTAGGCCTTTCTATTCTATACATGTTAAATTATACCTCCATGAAACATCCTGTACAGAAATGTTGAGTTGATGACTCAGAAGTCTTTGTCTCCTGTGTTTGATTACTGGTTTATTTAAAAAATGGGATGATGTGATACATGTTGGAATAAATGAGGTTAGCAAAAAAAAGAATGAACTTCTGCCTTAGTAGGTTGGACCTTATCAGTCAAATACTGAAGTCGGTAAATTAATTTCAGGAGTTCAGTAAGAGAAAAATATTTTTTATGATTTGTGTTTTGTAGGGATTAAACGCAGGAGGCTCATTCAGATCATTTAGGTGACTTGATTTATATTCTGTTCTTCCAAATAAAAATCCTCAACTTAAACCTTAAGACTTTTTAATATACAATTTTAAAAAAATCAATCAAACTAGAAAACAGAGGTCATGGGCCATTGTCGTCTTCCTAGGGCTGAGAAAGAGGGACTGGCTCCCTATCATCAAGCTGGCTTTGTGCCTAAGATAGAATTAGCATTCATGGTCTCCCAGTTTATAGCCTGGTGTCTTAACCACTGCAACAAATTAAGTAATTCTCTCATCAAGAATTAGAAGTGGAATGTTACGGACGGACGGACGTTGTCAAATTTACATGTTTTCTCATGCTCACCGGGATTGGTTGCCCAAACCCCGGGAAGTTTAAGCAACTGTCATTGGCCAGCTGGTCTGCCGGGGTTTCTTAAAAGGCGAGCCCCAGCAGCCCAGCCGGCAGAGTGCAGTCACTTACTCTTGCAATAAAAAGTGCTGAAACTCACTCACCCCTCTCGCCTGCTGCTTTTCGCCGATCTAACATGGAAAATCTCTGAAAACGTAGGGTCCTTGAATCCATAGCTACCGGATCTTTCTAAAGTTGAGCTTAAACTTGTAGTTTCCCAACATGATCCTAATAACCAGAGGAAAACCTCAACAATATCACTTGATTGGCCAGGGTAGAGATACTCAATTGAGTAACATCCACATACTGGTGATATCTGACCCCATGCCATTGGATAACTTCACCCAGCTACTTCATGTAGATATTAACTAAAGATAATTCCCCAGTGTCAAACCCTGGGAACTATGCAGAGCAGGGATCTTGTTTTGCCAGTATTCCTGGTCAACAATCTTAGGCTGAATTCTCCACCCCACTAATGCTATTTGGAGCTTACTCAAGGGAAAGGAGAGTCAGTACTACTGCCTCCTACTCCCAACCCTTGGAAATGTTCCCCAAAGATACCACAATCAATAGTATAAAAAGCCAATGAAATCAAGTAAGACCAGGAAAGTCTAGAAAAATTAAGGAACTCATTTCACCCTTTCCATTCCCCCCAACATGATTAAAAAACAAGGAAAACAAAGGATCCTAAGTTTTTGGCTCCACACACTTTGGGAGTTTTGGAGGAGATATTATTAGGGTACTGGAGAGCCAAATGGGAATTCCTTGCACATTTGTATTACATTTTAATTTACGGTACTCTATTTTTCTTGAAATTTTGCCTTTTTCTTAAAGAATATTAATATTTTCTACTGTATACTCTGGGTATTAAAGTCTGTAGAACATTTTCCCTTGTCTTTTTTAATGGAGTTTTCTTTCCATCTATTTTGAAGTGCCATTTTAACACTACAAGTATTGTGTAGGCTCCCTTTAACTGATGATAGTGGGAGTAGAGGTGGGTCTTTTTACACAGAATAATATGATATTATTTGTATTCCTGCAGAGGTTCCCAGTATGCAAGACATCACAGGGTTCAATATCAGTCGTCGGACGTTACTGACCCGCTACCATCCTGATCAAGGCACTGAAGGTTTGGAAATGCCAAGTTGGCCTTCCTTCATCTAGTAGTCTAGTAGTTTTGTAAGGAAAAAGGTTTAGACCCACTAGCCTGCCTTCCTTTTCCTGCTTTTCTCAGTGACAGTGCCAGAAAGCAAAGGTGACATGAATATGAAGATGGAGATAAATTGATATCTGCTTCCGCCCCTAGTCACTAATGTAGTGGGAACCAGTTTGCACATTTGGAAATTGTAGAGATGTTATAGCTGTGTGAGAGAAAGGAGCTCCTATACAAAAATAGTTGTCATGTTGACCTGCCAATCAGATATATAGGACAAATCACCTGGAGCCTAGAACATGCTCAGGGAGAGATTGCTGCTTATGGATAATGCATTGGTAGTCCCAGTTCTAATACCTCACTGGAGATCCACCTTGCGATTTACAATAACACAATAGCAGAGTTGGAAGGGACCTTGGAGGTCTTCTAGTCCAACCCCCTGCCTAGGTAGGAAACCCTATACCATTTCAGACAAATGGCTATCCAACATCTTCTTAAAGGCTTCCAGTGTTGGGGCATTGACAACTTCTGGAGGCAAGCTGTTCCACTGATTAATTGTTCTGTCAGGAAACTGTCAGGAAAGACTTGCCTCAAGTCTTCAATGAACTTGAATGATAAATTTAAAAGGCTTTGTTAACTGTATGTCACAACTAGTGTTTTCAGAGTAGATCCTAAAAAAAATCATTTACAGTTTTGCAGAAGGCATAGGGCAAGCCTTGCCTGTCAGTATTTCCAATTTCTAACTTAAAGATACAATAATTTTCTCAGGCAATTCTACCCTACTTGTACTTGGTACTTAAATCATGTGTCTTCTGGTACTTTACATGTTTCCCGAAAAGTAGGAAATCATGTTGTTCTTTGACTGAATGTGTCAATTTTACCTAAAAATTATATTGAGCTAGCCTTGACTCCTAGGGCAATAGACACTGATGGATTCTTGACTAAATGGCTTTCTTGTAAGTGAATTGGCTTCTTCTGGGATACTATTAGTATATCTTGGACTAGACTACACTTCTGGATACCTTGGTGGTTGGCTATATTGACTAAGTGCAATCCCTGTTTAGCTTTGAGAGGGATTAGCCAAGATGACCAAGATGTTTTTCCCTTGATTTTCACCTAAGCTCACACTTTTTGCTTCCTTTTCATGCTTCATGTTTTCTCATAGTGATATTCAATAAGAAACTATAAACAAGAGGCAAAGGGAATACAACATTTTGAAACCTGATCATGCTCAGTCTTCTTGAGTCTTAAATGAGTATAAAATAAAAAAAGAAATGGTATTCATTCTATATCCTGTGCATACTGCATTCAAATGAAAACTGTCCACAATATGTTATTGTATGCCATTTAGTCCCAGTGTAAATGGAGTCTATGATAACTCACCACAGCCAAGTTGTTACAGTCAACTCGCCATGGAACAATTTGCCAATGACAACTTGCCGCGGGACAAGAGTTACACTAATATCAAAGAAATAGTGGTATAGAATCATTAAAGAAAGGATGCCAAAGGAGGGGCAAAATGAAATGTGAATGACAAACATTAACAATTTTTTAAATCATTTTAAATAATTGAATTGTTCAATTGTCCCGCAGCAAGTTGTCCTATGATGAATTGGACATGGCAAGTTGTCCTGATTTGAGTTGGCTGTAGTTGGCTGTGGTGAATTGAACATGGTTTGTAAGTTTAATTTGCCACAGCCAACATGGTGAGTGGCAAATTGGCTGCAGTGAGTTGTCCCGTTACAGTATAAATGGTCTTTTCAAGAGCCCAGTCAGATGGACTTGCAATATTCTTTAGCAAAATTCTGTGTTGCTGCAATGAGAAAAAAATTGCTTACAGAATTGTAGCTGTCAACTTGTACCAATTTTTTGGAAATATCTTTAACAATTTTTGGAACAATATATTTATTCACATACTTATCGGCTTTTCACTCATGTAAAGTAGGGATTGACCCTAACAGTTTGAGAACATGAATTTTCTTAACAGGGATGTTATTATCCACTATTAATGTCAATATTATTATTATTTTAATATATTGTAATGTGATGTCTATTGCTTGTCTATGACCGTAATAAAGATATATTCTATTCTATTCTTTCTGATTTCTGGAAAAAGAAGGACGACAAATTTCAGGTTAAAAAAGAAGAAGAAAACTTTTCTTTCTCCTCTCACAATATTCCCTAATGTGTTCAGGTTTCATATCTGTATGCCAGACCTTACTATGCAGTAATGTGAAGTAGAACTAAACCTCTATTGTTTTCCCATACCTATTAAGTTTTCCATCCATATTATGGGCAGGAAAGTATGCAAGTATAAAAAATTAATAGCACACTTCTTTATTCTCTTGATCCTAATCTTCGTATCAAGATCCTGTTTCCTCCCACTCCCTTTTTATTATTACCCCTCTGTCTGATAACTATAGCTACAGCTGCAAAGTAATCTTCCTGGGCTCCTAGAAAGAAAACCTAGAGAAAGTACCTGCTTCCCAGCAACCAGTCCATCCAAAAAATGCTTTGAGTGTTTATTCCCATTTTGCTCCACAAAGATTTGATCTCTGTGAAAGGAAAAATAATGAGAAAACATAAGAGGTTACTACTGGAAAGTATTGTCTTTTGTCCATTTCATAGTTCTGTGAATGAAGCAAGGAGTTAGCTCAATATTAATAACTTGCCTTGGTAGCTGCTACCTAAGTCTTTGGACCATTTTTATTTCCCTGACTTTTTTTCAGGTTATATGCATGTACAATTAATGAGTCTCAGCTATGATCCTAATGATATTGTAAAACAACCGACCAAACAAACAAAACCACTATTTTAAGTAGGGTAGTTTTATTTTGTTGTCAAATTAATAGACTCCATTTTGCAATTGATATTGTAGGAGAGCCATGTTGGTAACCAAAAACCAGGAATAGTCTGGTAGCACCTTATCAGACTAACAAATTGAAAAAGACTGACTAACTCATTTTATTAGAGGCATGGAGTGGTCACCAAAATGTATGCCTTTTAATAACATTTGATAGCCTAATAATGTGCTATCGGACTCCTCATTTCTAACAATTGATAATAGAGGTCATTACTTTAATTTGGGAATGTATTGTAGTTAATTACTTATTTTAAGACTTTCTGCATTATGATTGAGTGCTACACTAAGTGATAAGCCTTGTACTGTAAGTACAGGTGATCTATCTCAGGTAAGCAAGAATGTGATGGGTGGGGGGAAGGTGCAGGGATATTGGGGTAAAAGAAAATAGAGAAACCTGTGTGTACATCTCACCACTACTCACCTCTAGTGAAGAGTCTGCCCCAATGAAATAAGATCACAAGCTATATATATATATAATATTATATTGGGTTTTTTTAAAGGTACAAAGGACTTTATCTCTTATATTTTTCAGTTTCTAGACATGAAAGAATAAGCCAAGCTGGCTCTACTCATCGCCAGGTCCAGCTAAATGAAAGTCCTCGCTCCAATTTCTTACCTCTTGGATGGGATTCTTACTCAGACTCTTCTGTGTCCCGTCGGTCCCATTCTTATCCAAACGGTGGTAGTAATGATCAAGACTGCAACCATACTCCTCATGGATGTTGTTCAGATGGTCGCACTACTGCAGCAGGTCCCTTTGGCCAAGGTTGCCCACTTGATTCTTGCCATCTGAGCAGGTAGGACTAGCTCACTGAATGAGCAATTTGCAGGCAAAGCTGATTTATTGGATTGCTTTCAACATGTTACTGGTTTCCCACCCACCCCAGATATGGATGCTGCCCCGATGGAGTATCACATTCCCAGGGACCTAACCAAGAAGGGTGCACACAATACTACAGTGATGTTGACATAAGCAGAAATCCTGTTACTCCCACTCCAACAGTAAGTGAGCAAACTTCTACATGTTCTAGAAGACGTGTTGGAATATAGTTACTTCCCCATATACAACGGCTGCATTTATCCAAACTCAAGGCTGTTTCCCTATGTCCTCTTGATATATCTGATGCTTCCATAAACATCTGCAAATTGAATTAGGTTCAAAAGTTCATCAGTTCCTCTGCCCCTCCAAATGAAAAGCTAGAGAAGGTTCCTTCCATCTCCACAATTCTGTCCTTTTTCTATTTCTACAGACAATTCCTCCAAGTTCTCGCTAAGATACAGGAAAATATTATAAAGTGTTTTGCTGTCTTTCACAGGGTATAATGGGCTGTTTCCATTCATCACATTAAAGTTAGCAATGTAGCTTTTGGATATTTTGTTCTGTAGTAAAAATGTAACTGAATTATGAATTGTTTCTGGGATAAATTCAGTTGAATGTGCTACTTCATAAACACTTTTGAATGTATAATCAGAGTAACATCTGGTTTTCTTTAAGACAAGCCAAGTTCTTGCCCAGCAGCTACCAACAGAGGAATGCCGAGGTTCTATGTATGGTTGTTGCTATGACAACATTGCCTCTGCTTTAGGGCCTCAAGGGGAAGGATGTCCCACAAGATTCAGTCAATGTAAGTGACATTTGGTTTTGAAATGTAGCTTCACATTTAGTATTTTCCAGAAAAATAGCAGCAACCAATGGAATCATTTTGGTGGTATTTTATATGTACAGGTAGTCTAGCTTAATGATGGTAATTGTGGCCTTCAGCTCTGTCATTAAACAACACATTCGCAAAGCACATGACATGACTCTGTTGACTTGTGATGGCAGTTGCAGCAGTTCCAGTTGCCATCGTCAGGCGAATCTTGTGTGGTCACAGCATACTCTAGTCATGTGATCACCATGTGCAACTTCCTGCTAACCTCTCTGTTGAATTTGCTTGCCAAAAGATGGCAAAGAATGTCAATCACATAAGCGCTGCAACAGCCACAACTATGAGGAACAGTGGTAAGTCTCCTCATTCAGGGCCATCCTAACTTTGAATAGTTTGCTGAAAAAGTGGTCAGTGAATGTGGACTATTTGCGTACTACGTAATCAAAAATCTGATTTAAAAAGTTCAACTTGAAATATATAAATACCTTTATATCTGAATTCTATTGTTTATATTCCTTGCATAGAAAAATTCTTTGTGTTTTGTGGTAAGGTTTTGATGAATTTGTACATTCTATGCACTTCATAAGAAAGACTCACCAACACATTTCTGTTTTGAAGTAAAACTAGTTCAGGCTCCCGGATGAAATCATTTATATCCATACATATTACATAATTCTTTGTGTAGTGTTTCCCAACCTTGGCAACTTCCCAGTGTGAGAACTTTAACTCCTAGAATTCTCATAAATGGTGATGCTAGCTATGGAATTCAGGGATTTGAAGTCCACAAATCTGGGGATTGTGAAGTTAGGAATTACTGCTTTAGGCCAGAAGGAGATTCATGCAGGCATGGGAAAAGTACAATATAGGAAGCCAAAGTACTTGATAGCATGATAAATAAAAAAGCATACAAATATCATTTCTCTCCTGGCTTTTGTTGCTAGCTTATCCTGTCCAGTGTATGTTACCCAGTGCCCATGGTTCCTGCACAGATTGGACCATACGTTGGTATTTTGTAAGCGATGTTGGAAAATGCAATCGTTTTTGGTATGGAAGTTGCCATGGGAATAAGAACAACTTTGCTACTGAAGAAGAATGCATGAACACCTGCCATGGATCAATGGGAAGAAGCCATGTGAGCCTTCACCACCATGTGGCAAGTCCTAACATCCCCTCTAGTTCTCAACTGCAAGAAGGGAAAACAGAGGTAAATCCACAACAATTTGGAAGAACTATAACTCATAGAACAGGAAATGAAGGTCATAGTGATAGAACTTCCTCCAATCAAGATGCCTTACCTGAATCTGAGCAAGGAACTAGCTTGCTAGAAAACCAGTCAGAAAATTCTCATCGCTCAAGAACTCTTGATGAAATAAAAAGGGACACCGTAGACCATTTGCATGGTTTGAGTGAGACTGTGATTTCCAGACACTCAGAGAAGCAGCTGACTGTGAATGGCCAGACCACTCAACATGAGGCTGACGAGTGGAGGAGGGAATCTGGAGCAGATGCATTAACACGGAGAAGATTTGGGTATCAAACCCCACCAGAATCCACTTTTCAATATTCTTTGAACAGGTACATTTTTGCATTAGCACAGAAATGTTGAAGATGTCTTGCTAATATTTTAGAATCATGCTTCATACAAGTTCGTATCTAATCCTCTATGCATGTCCATTTTGGGGGAAACCGTTGCATATCTTTCAGGATCTTCTTGGATGGACCAGAATCTTCTGCAGTGGAAGCAGGCCTAGGACAAAGCATCCGTCTTCTCTGTAAGACAGACAATTCCCACTTCTCTAGAGTTGAATGGCAGAAAGACGGACAGCCAATCTCCTCTGATAGGTAGGACTGACCCCTGGATTCACCCCCATATCCCCTATGAATGGAACTTTGAGGTCATAGGTTTCACATTTGAAATTTGTCAGTATCTAAACCTACAACCTCTGATCATGTGATGAACTTGAGTGAGGTTTACAGGCATGTTTCCATTGCTGCTTTGCAGATAGTCCTTAACTCACAACAGTTTGTTTAGTAACTGTTTGACATCATAATAGCACTGAAAAAAGTGACTTATGACCATTTTTCACAATTACAACCATTGCAGCACCTCCATGGTCACAAAATTAAGATCCTTGGCAACTGGTTGTAGTGTCCCATGGTCATGTGATCCCCTTTTGTGACCTTCTGACAAGCAAGGTCAATGTGGGAGCCCAGATTCATTTAACAATCATGTCACTAACTTAACAATTGCAGTGATTCACTTAAGAGCGGTGGCAAGAAAGATCATAAAATGAGGCAAAACTCACAAAACAAATGTCTTGCTTTAGCAACAGAAATTTTGGGCTTAACTGTGATTCTAAGTTGAGATCTAACTGTACTTCACTGTCTTCACATAACCAGTACGAAACCTGCCAGCGATTCATCTTTAGCATCACTTTCTTGCTCTTATTCCCATAACCAACCAGAGTAATTGCTATCAATTTGACACTGTTAACTGACACTGTCAGTTTGACACTGTCAACTGAATATGTCATTCTATGTTAACTGATTCTGTCAGTGACTGCCACTGAGTTGGTGCAATTTCCAGTTTACCACATTTGACAATCCTTTAATCTTTTCTCCCCATAGGCATACCTACCAATCTGACAACTCCCTGGTGGTTAGCCATCTCAGGACCGAGGATGCTGGCATCTACACGTGCACAATTTCAAATGGGAGGGTGGAACGCAGGCAGATCGAGTTGCTGATCAAAGGTTATTTTATTCTTTGTTACTCATAACAGCCATAAAGCAAGAAACTGCTTGTCCTGATATAGCCAGCAGGTTGTTCTACAATTCTTTTTTCATCAATGGAAAATGATATCCTTTCCACATTTCATCAGAGTACAAAACCAATGCTGTCTTTATCCAGGGAACTCCTTTCTTGCTCTGCCATCCCAATGCTTGGAAAGCTCTCCTCCATCTTATGGGAAACTTAGTACAAGGAAAATCTCCTGGGCAAACAAACCCTGGAAAGAACCATCCCTTTGTCAGCCCCCAAAGATTTCTGAAAGTCAAATCCTGATGGCTTCTTTGTTCTGTTTCTTTGTGTAGAAATCCCTCAATCTACCTTCACCCAGGGAAGAAGGCATCAACTTACTCATGATCAGAATCACCAGCACAGAGTCTTTGGCACAGGAACTAATGACAGGTGGTCACATGTTTCTTCTCTGCATCCTCAAATAACATACAGGTATAGCTTTCAACTTCCCAAAGCAGCTTATGTTCCACATATTGTGCTGTGCGCTCTTTAGAGATGCATTTGGAAGCTGATCAAACAACAGCAGGCTATTTAATCATAGTGCCATTGTATCTAATCTAAATGCTTAGAAATCAGCCCTGCATTTTCTTTACGGCTACAATACAGAATGTGGAGCAACTCTAACCTAGGGTTTTTTTTAGAATTTTTTTCCCCTTTTCTTTCTTACTGGTTGGACCTGATCAGGCAACTGAAAGAACCTAAGGAACTTAATTTAAGCAACCGTTGATATCAAAGTGTTTTAATGAAATCATTTTATGCCTTAGGCAGTTTTCTGTGTTTTGCTCGGCTCCTCGAGGAACCTACTGTTAGAAGGAAGCAATCATTAAGAAATTAATTACTGGGTTTAATAAATATTCATTGTTGAAATAAAACTTATATCTGCAGGAAAGAGATTCTAGCAAAACAAGGTCTCTTTTGCAGACAAGCAATTATTTAAATAGCTCATTTTTACTGATCACTGGGCAGTTTTGTAATAAAAGTCAGTGGCCTGCTTGCAGCCAAGGTTCACAAGCATCATCAGCTCAAAATTGCTTCTTTTGCATAGGTGGGTATCCTCTCATTAAGAACCGTGAGTCACATTCTAGAATGTCGCTACACTAAAAAGAACTAAGAAAGGCTGTAGTGAGAGAGAGATGATGAAATTTAAGAGCTTATTTTTAGCAACTTGTCTCTTTTTAAAAAATAGCTTAGTATGGCAGTGGGGTTGAGTGCATCATTTCAGTGACAAGGGTAACTATCAGGCCACCTTCTGCAAAAAAAGCTGCCCAGGAGAAAGAGTAAAAATGGAGTAGGTAATCTGCCATTCCCAGTTCTATTCATTGATTTCTGAGGCGTCCATCTGTAGCAACTGTCACTAGCTTCAATAATTGGAAATAATCCTCCTCTCAAAAGCTAAAGTGCATGCATGGAACATTATCAAAGGGAGTGGGAGTCATTTGTTTTGCAATCGTGTCAATTCAGTTGCTTTATTCTTTATTCTTGCTCACAGGATAGGAGTAAACCTCCTAACCTACTATATCTGGATTAACAGGCTGGCATAGGTTCCCAGACAGCTGCATGATTTTGTTGAAATTCTTGCTGAAAGCATCACACATGGCCAGATAAATTATAAGGAGAACATTCTGTTACATGGGATTCTCGTGGCTATCAGCATTATCTGGGCCTGTAGCCAAGGGAACTGTTAAAAGGGATGTAATTATACAAACCTACATTTTGTAAAATTGTTGAGAGAGCGCCGTATACTTGTTGAAGAAGACTCTCTGTAATGGTCCATTTATGTTCAAATCATGACGAAAAGAGAGAAGGGCTAAAGTTCAATTATGTAATGCAGATACATTTATCGAATTCATATACCATTTTTAGCTTCTTCTGAAAGGAGATAATGTCACGGTTAATCTAACCTCCAATAAAAGGAAAAGCAACACTTCCATCTTTGCCCTCTCTCCCCCAAGCTTCTTGAAAATGGGAAACAACCAGTTCCTTCTCCTCATAATTGAATTGGTCTGGCCGACTCCAGTGGAGAATGCAGATCTATAAGTAACTTGCCAAATTAGCCAAATCATAAATGACTCTCTAGGTTAAAATCAGTACTTTAAATTGCAGTTAAAGGTTAATGTGAAGCCAATGTAGAGCCCGGAATAAGATGTAATATATTCCCATCTACAACTGCATTCTGGCTGCTGCATTTTATGCAGTTGAAAATTCTGGATAGCTTTTAATAGCCATATAGAGCCTGATACAGTACTCTAGATGTATGATGACGGGGCATGAATCACGTCAGTAAAGCTAGCTTGATCACTCAACAGTGAGACACTGGTGAAGTGGGTACAGCAGCACCTGCATTTTCTGTGTCACATGAGGAAAGTACATCTTCCTCTCCCTGTCCTTACCACTTTCTATAGAGGGACAATAGAGAACATCCTGTCATATGGCATTAAAATCTGATTTGGAAGCATTACTGCTTCGGACAGGAAGGCGGTGCAGAGAGTGGTGAGGACAGCAGAAAAGATTATTGGTAGTTCACTTCCTTCTATCCAGGACATGGCATATAAAAGTGATGCTTGAATAGGATCCGCAGTATGTATGTGTATAGATATATACTTTCTTTAGAGAGCAGGCAACAGAATTTTATTTTTATTGTGTGGCAGTATAATCACAGTAAAAATGACAATAAAGATTATCTTATCTTAAAGTCCTCATGTCTTCAGATAAGGTTGTAACTAGTGCAACAGCCCAAGATGGGCAAAGGCTTATGTAGCCATGGTTGCCAACTGCTGAGCCAGTGGGAATCACAAATCCTTGGAGATATACACAGCAGATTCACTCTTCGCCATTCACCACTTGTGTTCTAGGCCTAACTTCTACCACTTTATCCCCCAGCTATTTTCTCAAAAACCAGGAAGCCACCCAGAGACAGAGAGCAACTGCTCTGGAATTATTTTGCCTTGGGCTGAGATATCATCTTTTGCCAATGGCAAACCTTTCCATTGACAAGAAACTTTTCAACACTTGCTGAAAAGAGTGATTAAAATGAAAGGACGAATTCTGATCCTTTTAAAAAAACATTTAATGCATCTACTTTGCAGGTTAAAAATGTATAAGAATGAGCCTTCGGTAGTTGATGCTAGCATTGGCGAACAAGTCAGGCTGCCTTGTCGTGTAGAGGCTTCCCCCTCTTTGACCATTGAATGGCAGAAAGATAGCCGTCCTATTTCATCTGCCAGGTAAGTGGTATTCTTGACAATATTACGCTCTCATTTTGTTGTCTTTGTACTAAGTGTGCAAAAGCCCAATGACTCCAATGAAATAAGTAAATTGAATTTGATACCCCTGGTCTATAGCGATTCTCAATCATGCAGGTTATGGTTGTCCCAAAGGTGCTTTTTCAGAGGGCAACTGGACTTTTGTTTTTGTTTGTTTGTTTTTTCTTTGAAGACTACTATGTTATGTTATGTTATGTTATGTTATGTTATGTTATGTTATGTTATGTTATGTTATGTTATGTTATGTTATGTTA